CTACACCTAATGCGTTATTAGGATTTTTGGCCCATCCTAGAGATCACCTCCATGAGGGTTTCCGTTGATTCACGGCGGTTCTAAGTTACATACATATGCCTAGGCTTTATTCCTCTCAATCGATTGTTCTTGAACTATTATTCAAGCAAAATATCTCTACAGACACTCCATAGACACTCCCCCCTTTTGCGCTGTTTACCAGTGCAAAGAAATTTAGAATGGTTAGGCCAGACCCCTAGTCCACAGCAATAAAAGCAACAGCAGCACACACCGGTCCATTACGGTACATCTCCTGAGCTCACACACTCAAAAGCAAACGAAGGAAACACACACAAGACAGTGAGAAATCTCACCTTAAGCCGGCGTCTTGAGCGAGAGTCACGTCGTTGCTCATGAATATAACACTGAAGAGACGCAGACCCGCCTCATCACTCGTCCCCAAATTTGTAGTGTCGAGTCAATGTTGCTAATTATGCTGTAACAAAGGAGTCCGCTTATACTGAACTTTGATCATAAGTTTTATTCATATCACAAGATTTCAGCATAAGTTTACAGATGTCATGATCACCCGGAGAGCAGTGTTTTCCAAATTACAATGTCCGCTCTAATGTTCTTTGTTCAAACCCAGTACTTATAATATTCCCCAAATATGGGTGGCTCCCTCTACTGTCCAATCCCTGTCTACAACACACACTCCCTGTCTGTTCTATGGGGTGTCACCCTAAAACAACTCCCTCTGAAACTGAATAAACATCCTCTCAGGTTCCACTTGAAAACATTAGCAAAGTCATAATTCTTAATACACTACACTAGCAACTCTAACCACGTTTCCATCCACAGTTTTTATGCGAGTACCGTATAAGTCATACAGTATATTTTTTAAAATCACGACAGCAGTGATGGAAACAGGAAGTTTTGGTACAATTTTATAAATTCCTACAGATAATTTGCTCATTCGACATGGTAGGATCTTTTTGTGTCGGTAAAATTAACAATGACAGAAATGGCGGTGGAAACGACTTTATGCGCAAATATTGATATAATAACCATCATATCGAAGTAAACTTGGAGTCACGCGATGATATTGTGTGTGGTCCTCCCACTACGACTCGGGAAACCATGCAGTTTATTAGGCTACAGATTAAATAATTTATATATGATGAATTTCACAGGGTGGTGAAAGTGCACAGTGATCTTGACGCGCCTTTCCAATAAATATCGAAGGTGAGGGTCTGATTCTGGTGGGATGATGATCGATGCTTGACTGCCGTTTGACAAATAAAAATATTCTCACTCTTATCCATAATAATCTCATTATGTACACTAGCCTACCCGCACTGTATCTGCGAGCTGTTGGCTAGAGCACACATGTCAAGACCAGAGTAGGTACATTTGCTATTTAATGCAACCGTTTTTGTGACAAAACTATTGGTAGTGTTGACAATGCAATGGAAACACATTGAACTTTAGATTTTTATTCGGTACATGAAAACTTAAGCGAAACATTTATTTTTGTGTGCGTTATGTCATCACGCACTGATTTTTATCTGCACCAATTCCCTTTGGTGGAAACACCACTGGTGGGAAAATCTTCATATTTTCTTTATGCAGATTTTAGAATATTCGTATGAAAATCTGTCGCAAATTGGATGGAAACCTAGCTAATGACAACAAGCTGCCATGTGGGGAATCATAGGTGGCTCGTTTCAGCTAGTTTGATCTTGTTCTTGATACCATGTCTTGTTTTGAGGTGTTTTGACTGATGTCATTTCTATGCTAATATGGCAAAATAAATTGCTAGCTAACTAACTAACCAACAACTGAAATAAATTACAGATGATGTATTTGAGAGTCAATTGCTCATTGTGCAAATGTATTTATGTTTTCAATAAACATTAGAGACTAAAAATAGTTTAAATGTTGTCAACAATCTAAGCCAACCCCATCTTTTTGCCCCATAGTTATGCAGGCGTCGATTTTGTTGCTAAACAATCAACCCCTCTATTGCGTTGGTGTCTATTGGAGACACACCCAGTTAAGTAGACCGGAATTGACAATTTTGTTAAAATGGTAAACAGCCTGAGTGAACTATCTTCATTTATCCACCATCTTTGCCTGGGGCCTTGCCTGTCCTGAGCAGGGGAACATGACTTCTGTGTGATGGGCAGACTGCCATTCATTTGCTCTCACTAGCCAGAAGATTTGGACCCTACTATTATGCTTATTTACACTGAGCTGCACTGGGGTCGGAACGCCATCATGGTTAGATTGATGCCACGTTCACGTCATGTTGGAAACTCTGAAAAAATGTCAGACTTGCTAACCTAGGCGGAAGAGTCAGATCCTGAGTTTCCCACTTGGGAGCAGGGTTTCAATTAGGAAAATGTGGCGCCGGACATTTGAGCTTCAACATTTTAATTTACTGGACCCATATGCATTGGGTGCGTAACCTGATTAGGGCGTCCATCCACGGTGCCAAGAATGACAGAAATCACATTTGGAATATGGTAATTCATATTAACAGAACATTCAAGTCGAGGATGCAATGATGTGCGGTCCTTCTTACCGAATTCTGATGTGTACTTTGAACATGTTAGAATAACTGCCCCCATTTACTTTTCCTCAGCCAACAAGATGAGTAACAAACAGCAAAATCACTAGCCTATATCAATCTATTATAGTAGAAAAGTTTAGGCTACCTATTCTATTGGTCAGCTTGTCGAGAAAGAACTAGCCTATTCCAAACCGACTCTGGGACAGTTGTCGGACGATAGATCCCAAATTCATACAACCAGTAGGCCTATGCTACATTTATTTTATTTTTTAAGCAATGAGTCTGATGCAACAGATCAGAACGTTTACCATTAAATGTTGAGAAACTATTATTTTTTCACATAAGCGCAGCAATGCCCACAAGGCACTAGGCTACGCCCGAATGTTTGTTCCATAATGCAATTAGCGGGAAAACAGCATTGTCAAAATGGCACTGCACAAGTGAGCGGTTTCATGTGACAGAGATGAAAATATCTGAAAGAAAGGAGATCAAATAGGCTACTATCTGTATTCTGTACACGTGTGATAAATAGGATATATAACGAATATACTGTACACACATGCCAATTTAATTCCACTAAATTATGCAAATTAACCTATAGACCAATAAGCATGACCAGTCAAATGTATTTACATCACAGGAGGTTGGTGGCACGTTAATTTGGGAGGATGGGCTCGTGGTAATGGCTGCAGCGGAATAGGTGGAATGGTATCAAATACATCAAAAACATGGTTTCCATGTGTTTGATGCCTTTCCATTTTCTCTGTTCCAGACATTATTATGAGCCTTCCCTCAGCAGCCTCCACTGATTTACATCAACTGGTATTACCATCAATGAATAGGCTAAAATGCATTATTTTGCAATGGGATTTTTTCTTCTTCTCCCGGACAATTGGCCGGTGCCAATTTTATTTATCGGCTTTTCAATTTTTTTATTTGACAAAATATGCCTATTACCGGCTAACGGAAAACCTGCTTGGAAGGTACCAAAATCAACCAATAGGAAGCTCTATGCAAATAACATACGTTCATTTTAACTCAGAGGTCCCGAGTTTCCGACCCTGCCCTTTTCGTCCTTGTGCTAGCAAGCAGTTTTTTATTTGTATTTATTGAATCAAATATAACAGGTATTTCCCAGGTAATGAAAAGTCATGTGTTTTCAAGATACACTTAGAATATAACCTAGTCTATTTATGAATGGTATTGATATCAAAAGTCCCAAGTGTACAAATAAACACATAAGATAATCTTTTTAATAGCAAAAGAAAGATCATGCTAGCTAGCAGTACCCACAATAGCAATAGAGTGCCACAGTATGAGTCATAATACCCATAAAGCCTAGCAGTCAAACAGGGAAATGGTTTTAATAATTTTTCCAATACAGGATTTTAGAAACACTGAAAATAAGGGCTGTGTTTTGTGTAGGTTTACCCTGGTGTGACGTTTTGATAACCATGTAAACCTCTCTAAGACAAGGTGATTTATCAATATATTTGCATGTATTTATCCACAAAAAATGAAATTCTAATTAGCTGCTAATGTGGCTCTCATAAAGACCTACAAATACCATGGTGATCTGGACGAGACTGCCGAATCGAGGTAAAGGTAAGAATCTCTGGATTAACTATCTAATGTTAGCTAAATGTAGAAATGAATAAATTGGTTAAATGTCTTTAAATGGACAATTCTGTGAACTGTCTTGTGCAAGTTTTAAATTGACACAATACCTGTTTAGCAAAGGTTTCAGCTAGAGATTATGTGCAGGAGTTTACAGGGATTTTTAGTCTTGCATGATGTCTACTTTGATGCTAATTAGCATTTTCGAATATGAGAATAAATAGAGCCGAATATATTGATAAAAGTCACCTTGTCCTTGAGAGAGATTTACATGGTTATCAAAACGTCATGCCAGGGTAAGCCTACACGAAACACAGCCCTTATTTTAAGTGTTTCTAAAATCCGCTATGGGAAAAATGAATGGTGCGTAAAAATGATTGGAAACATTTCCTTGTTTGACCACAAGGTTTTATGGGTATTGTGACACCTTCACTGTGGGGCTCTATTTTGGAATGGCATGTTGTGTTGAACAACAAAATAGCTAATTGGCTGACACTGCCATTCCAAAATGGCTGCGGTGGCTGCTGCTAGCTAGCATGAGGACGAAAACAGAAATTTTCTGGAAAAACAAGCAGTATTTCAATCTTCTCGATGTATCAGTTTGGATAAAGGTACAATTTGGAGTACAGCAGCATCTCCCATCCTTACATTGAGAAATATTTTCCAACCCATATCTCGCGCCGGCTCAGCGGTCTTAATCTAACCATGATGGCGTTCTGACCCAAGTGCAGCACAGGGTAAACAAGCGTAACGGTAGGGTTGGAATGTTCTGGCTACTCTGAACACCTAATGGGTCGTCAGTGGGCGGGGATAACATTCCACCCGCTCACTTTCCCGTGCATTGCTGGATGAGGGAGGAAGTCTCTGGGCTCGAGCTGGACGTTTTGTGGAATTTTGGGTGCATCTAGCTAGCTAAAGTAAGTTATTCTTAAGATTCAAAAATTACATAATGTTTTGTTGAAACTTGTTACAAACGTTCGAATTGTTAATCCATTACAGTATTAGTTTGCCTGTTTGCTTTTTTAGCTTGCAGTACGTTCGCATCTGTTAGCCATTTAGCTAGCAACCCAAGCTAGCCTGCTACGGTAATCATCCCAACTTTACCTGGGGAAATGGCTTTGGAGGGTGAATACGTGATTGGTTACGTTAAGATCATTAGAATTGCAATATATCAAAACAATTATGTCAGGAAAGGACGACTGGGAATACCATTTTGCATCCATTTTACCACCCACTCATTGCACCTGGAGGAACAATCAGTAACGTTAGCTAGCTAATTGCGTCTGCCATGAAAAGTTGGTTGTTTTTCTGCCAACATGACAAGATATTTGATCCGTATTCTTCTATCTCGCTCCTATTAAATTGCAGATATGTTTGTACGATCTAACCTAGTAGCCTGCTGTAAAGTCAAACAGGGAGTAGACTCGTGCCACATAGTCTACTGCGCCCTCCAAAACGGACTTTTTTTTGTACGTAACCTACCCGAATAAGTACATACCAGCCAGACTCTATTGGCAATGTTTTGAATTACATTCGAAATAACTATTTTCCCCAGAAATATTACACCATGAATACGGATGACGTATACTATTTATTTTGTCGCAATATTTCAATATTATAGGGAATTTGAAAAATATAATGCCAAAGCATTTTTTGCAGAGTGATGTGTAGGAATGTAAAATTTGAGGACATCATTGTTACATGACTGACTTTAATGCAATCCGACATATCCTCTCTTCCATGTAGGCAGCATTCTCAACCATGGTGATGTCTTGCTGCGTGTTATACATAGACCAAACAACTCTGGCTGCTTCAAGAGTTCAGTCACCAGTCTGACATTCTTTCCATGCATGCAGGATACCTGTTGCCTCACACCTGTGTCACAGGTTACTTTTTTACTTTGTTGGAGGTAATGCCACACTGGTCACACAATTTTTTTCATCATGATCTCCAATGAACTTGTGTGAGTTAAAGCCACAATCTTGAAATGTAGGCTAACCACTCACATTCATAGACATAGCTAAGGATGCAAGGACTGACAGTCATTCCACAGCGCATATTTCATATCCATTTGCTAGGAACAACCTCTATAGGCAATACTTTGTGCATACACATACAAATGTGTGCATTTTGTGGTGGAGTAAACATAAGTTAGGCATGACATCATGTTTAGACCTATTTATAGTGCCGTGAAGACCGAGAGGAAGTGGCGAATTATAGTAGTATATAGATACTCTTTGGTGAAGTTCTTTTCCTGGCTAGTCTAGTTCCTTTCTCTGTGAGTGAATCCATTATAGCTGACTCATTCTTCTCTTTGTCTTAGTATGGTCTGATTTTATTTTTTGTCCTTATTCACAAAAATGAGCAATCACATCACATGGCCAGTTAAAGCTGCAATAAGTAACTTTTTGGGCGACCTGACCAAATTCACATAGAAATGTTAGTTATAGATCTGTCATTCACATTGAAAACAAGTCTAAGAAGCGGTAGATCTGTTCTATGTGGGCTATGTCTATGCTTCCCATTAAGTTTTGTTTTTGCGTCTTTTACTTTCAGTTTTGTACACCAGCTGAAAATACAGTATGTTTGGTTATGAAAAATATATTAAACAGCGGTTTAGATGGTACAATGATTCTCTACACTATATACGTGCTTGTTTTGTCACATAAACTGAAATTAGGCAAACTATTTTAGAATTTTTGCAACCACGAAATGGCGGAACGATTTCTGCATAGTGCAGCTTTAAGCCCAAAGTGTGGTTTTAGCATTAGCAGATCAGCAATGTGTCAGCTGTTTTTCGCAGGCAGAAAGCTGTTCTTTCTAACCATGTTGGAATAGGTCACACACTGTGGTTTGTTGATCTTTCGGATCTGTCTGTGAGTCACCTGTCAGCAAACATAATTATGCTTATCTTGTACCCACACAAGCTGATAGGAAATTGAGCTATAATGTCATAAAGAACATGTAGTTTAGAATAGGCTCAAGATATCACATGTAAGTGGAAAGCCGCCGGTGCAGAAAATGCTCATGTTCCTGTAGGAGCTCGCTGGGTGTGTGCACATGAACTTGACCACACTTGGGAGGGGTGCCAATTCTATATATGTGCCTTACATTTCCCATGTCACGGACGGGGCGGGTGAAGCTCTGCCAAGGTGTGGTCTTATTGGCTCTACACCGTTTTCTCTGTCATCTGGGAACCCTCCCCTGATTTGACTCAACTGTCAGAAAGATCAGTTAATATTTTTATTTTTTTAAACATTTGTTGTGGCAATTAACAGCTGTCGCTGGCAGCTGCACAGTGTCTAATTGTCATGGAGGTGGGGCTAGTATTAGTCGCAGAATAATTTTTCTATAAATCCCCTGGTCTTGTAATATTCTTTAGAGAGCCTAGCCATATGTCAAGATGTTATAATTATGTGCAAATTGTGGTGTTGACTTGCTGCAAAGCATTGTCAATTTGAATAATGCATTTGAATCATATCACATTCTGTGATCATGCTACTATGCAAATGTTCTTCTATTCTGAGAACATTGTTACCTGTATCCGTCCAATGTAACTTCAACTTTGTCACCCGTCCACAAACGGCTTGTTCTGTCAACTGCCATTGAGCCCTGACATTTTTAGGTGTTGACAGATTTGTTATTCTTAACATTTATCTCCATGTCTAGACATGATAGTTCACATTACAATGTCCTTATTCATCTGTACCAATAATGATTATACTCAACAGTGTACACACTTTACTTCTCTACCGCCTCCATTTTTTGCTCTGTGTATGTAACCCCCACCCCCTCTCTCTCGTTGGCTCGCTTTCTCTCCCTCTCTCTTTCTGTCTGGGGTGTGACAGGGGTTGGCATATGAGGTCATGTTTGGAGTCCCTTATTATGGCTGGTCTGACTCCTGTGGCCTCATTTCACATCCAGGCGAGGCTCAAATACAGTTACACAGTAATAGTCATTCACATGGTTGGTATTTTTCCAAATGATAATACAAAGGTTTACATAGAGTTGTATGTTTTCTCTCATTGTATAGCTTTTCAATGGCTAACAATACAAAATAAGTGACAGGTGAGGATGTGTGAATTTTGATCAGGCTAAGCTACATTTTTGTCATGTTGTAGGACTTTTGTAGCAGTTTTGTACCCTCTAATTTTGATTTTCAACTTGCAGAATGATGACTTGATTATTGGGGAAATGCCCCTACATGACTCACATAGGAAATTGCTACTGTCTGGGGGGAAAGCAATTGCCTAGTATGGTTTTGACTGAATTTCATTTCCAGCTGTTTGATAAGTAGTTTGTCATAACAAGCAGAAACCAAAGCACCTCTTTGCCCCCTTAGTTTATGTGAATGTCAAGGCAATCAATGATCTTCATTCATGGCAGTGATTACACATTCTGTCTTGTCTTTTGTCCTTTGTTCGTCCTGTTGAATATGTGCCTGTGATGCCAGATGCAGATTAGGAGAAAATGGTCCCATTGGAGGAAGTGAACTGACTGATCTTGCCATCTTATTTATGATAATTTATGGTCATGACTCATGATTTAGGCCTCTAATCAATTGATAATCTATTATCATAGATAATTTCCTAACCAGAAAGAAAAGCTTGTTATGCACTGAATCAATGTATTGTATAGCCCATCCGACTGTGTTAGTTATTAGGATTGGGCGGTATCCAGATTTCATACCATGCCTGTGCCATCCCAGGATATACAGTATTACCGGTAGTGCACACAAGGGGCGCTATAATTTTTCAAACATAAAAAAAAAAAATGCCCAAATACCATCACTTAGCAGAATGATAACAAGTACTAAGGACTTCTCATATCAGATGCTAGGTAAATGCTAACGAGCGCGCGCAAACATTTACCTCTAGGACAGACAACCCAGCTCATAAAGTTATGCAAGTATCTCAAAACATAGTTTGCAGCACAGACAAAACAAATATTAGGCAGCAGGGATCTTAATCCAGGAGGGGATTGTCTCTGCTGCTTGATCTTGATACATTTACATTTACGTCATTTAGCAGACGCTCTTATCCAGAGCGACTTACAGTTAGTGCATACATTATTTTATTTTTTCATACTGGCCCCCCGTGGGAATCGAACCCACAACCCTGGCGTTGCAAACACCATGCTCTACCAACTGAGCTACCTCCCTGCCGGCCATTCCCTCCCCTACCCTGGACGACGCTGGATTGCGCCGCCAATTGTGCGCCCCCCGGTTGCGGCCGGCTACGACACAGTCTGGATTCGAACCAGGATCTCTAGTGGCACAGCTAGCACTGCGATGCAGTGCCTTAGACCACTGCGCCACTCGGGAAATACACCACATGACCATAAGTATGTGGACACCTGCTCGTCGAACATCTCATTCCAAAATCATGGGCAATAATATGGAGTTGGTTCCCCCTTTACTGCTATAACAGCCTCCACTCTTCTGGGAAGGCGTTCCACTAGATGTTGGAACATTGCTGCAAGGACTTGCTTCCATTCCAGCCACGAGCGTTAGTGAGGTCAGGTACTGATGTTTGGCAATTAGGCCTGGCTCGCAGTTGGTGTTCCAATTCGATGGGGTTGAGGTCAGGGCTTTGTGCAGGCCAGTCAAGTTCTCCAAAACCGATCTCGACAAACCATTTCTGTATGGACCTCGCTTTGTGCATGGGGCATTGTCATGCTGAAACAGGAAAGGGCCTTCCCCAAACTGTTGCCACAAAGGTGGAAGCACAGAATCGTCTAGAATGTTATTGTATGCTGTAGCGTTAATATTTCCTTTCACTGGAACTAAGGGGCCTGGCCCGAACCATGAAAAAGAGCCCCAGACCATTATTCCTCCTCCACCAAACTTTACAGTTGGCACTATGCATTTGGGGCAGGTAGCGTTCTCCTGGCATCCGCCAAACCCAGATTCGTCCGTGGGACTGCCAGATGGTGGAGCGTGATTCATCACTCCAGAGAACGCGTTTCCACTGCTCCAGAGTACAATGGCGGTGAGCTTTACACCACTCCAGCCGATGCTTGGCATTGCACATGGTGATCTAAGGCTTGTGTATGGCTGCTCGGCCATGGAAACCCATTTCATGAAGCTCCCGGCGAACAGTTCTTGTGCTGACGGTGCTTCCAGAGGCAGTTTGGAACTCGGTAGTGAGTGTTGCAACCGAGGACAGGCGATTTGTACGCGCTTCAGCACTCTGTAGTATTGACGGTATTAAAGAACCATCCGGTGGCTTTTTCCAAATACCCCTATATACGGTATACTGCCCAAGCCTATTAATTATGTTCTGCAAGCATGATTGTGTGGAATCCAGAGTCTAGTCTACAGTGGGGAGAACAAGTATTTGATACACTGCCGATTTTGCAGGTTTTCCTACTTACAAAGCATGTAGAGGTCTGTAATTTTTATCATAGGTACACTTCAACTGTGAGAGACGGAATCTAAAACAAAAATCCAGAAAATCACATTATGATTTTTAAGAAATTAATTTGCATTTTATTGCATGACATAAGTATTTGATCACCTACCAACCAGTACGAATTCCGGCTCTCACAGACCTGTTAGTTTTTCTTTAAGAAGCCCTCCTGTTCTCCACTCATTACCTGTATTAACTGCACCTGTTTGAACTCGTTACCTGTATAAAAGACACCTGTCCACACACTCAATCAAACAGACTCCAACCTCTCCACAATGGCCAAGACCAGAGAGCTGTGTAAGGACATCAGGGATAAAATTGTAGACCTGCACAAGGCTGGGATGGGCTACAGGACAATAGGCAAGCAGCTTGGTGAGAAGGCAACAACTGTTGGCGCAATTATTAGAAAATTGAAGAAGTTCAAGATGACGGTCAATCACCCTCGGTCTGGGGCTCCATGCAAGATCTCACCTCATGGGGCATCAATGATCATGAGGAAGGTGAGGGATCAGCCCCGAACTACACGGCAGGACCTGGTCAATGACCTGAAGAGAGCTGGGACCACAGTCTCAAAGAAAACCATTAGTAACACACTACGCCGTCATGGATTAAAATCCTGCAGCGCATGCAAGGTCCCCCTGCTCAAGCCAGCGCATTTCCAGGCCCGTCTGAAGTTTGCCAATGACCATCTGGATGATCCAGAGGAGGAATGGGAGAAGGTCATGTGGTCTGATGAGACAAAAATATAGCTTTTTGGTCTAAACTCCACTCGCCGTGTTTGGAGGAAGAAGAAGGATGAGTACAACCCCAAGAACACCATCCCAACCGTGAAGCATGGAGGTGGAAACATCATTCTTTGGGGATGCTTTTCTGCAAAGGGGACAGGACGACTGCACCGTATTGAGGGGAGGATGGATGGGGCCATGTATCGTGAGATCTTGGCCAACAACCTCCTTCCCTCAGTAAGAGCATTGAAGATGGGTCGTGGCTGGGTCTTCCAGCATGACAACGACCCGAAACACACAGCCAGGGCAACTAAGGAGTGGCTCTGTAAGAAGCATCTCAAGGTCCTGGAGTGGCCTAGCCAGTCTCCAGACCTGAACCCAATAGAAAATCTTTGGAGGGAGCTGAAAGTCCGTATTGCCCAGCGACAGCCCCGAAACCTGAAGGATCTGGAGAAGGTCTGTATGGAGGAGTGGGCCAAAATCCCTGCTGCAGTGTGTGCAAACCTGGTCAAGACCTACAGGAAACGTATGATCTCTGTAATTGCGAACAAAGGTTTCTGTACCAAATATTAAGTTCTGCTTTTCTGATGTATCAAATACTTATGTCATGCAATAAAATGCAAATTAATTACTTAAAAATCATACAATGTGATTTTCTGGTATTTTTGTTTTAGATTCCGTCTCTCACAGTTGAAGTGTACCTATGATAAAAATTACAGACCTACATGCTTTGTAAGTAGGAAAACCTGCAAAATCGGCAGTGTATCAAATACTTGTTCTCCCCACTGTAGGTCTTCGGTGAGCAATCATTTGTAAAAACTCAAGAGTCTGGATAGTTGTAACGAAGAAAACACTTTCTCTCAGGGAAAACCGTGTTGATTTTTGATTGTAATTGTATTAATAGTTGTGAGTATTTTGTCAGCCCAAGCCTTCATGGGTGAACTCTTTTATGGAAGGAGAATTTGATTATTCCGGTTTAGCTTTTTGGATGGCGCAGAGTGGGAACAGTACAGGGCGGCAGGTAGCCTAGCGGTTAAGAGCGTAAGGCCAGTAACTGAAAGGTCGCTAGTTCGAATCCCCGAGCCTACTAGGTGAAAAATCTCTGTGCCCTTGAGAAAGGCACTTAACATGTAAATGTATGCAGCTGAAGTAGCCTACCTTATAGACAGACATGTTTACTGCATTCCTCTACCCCCTCAACATGGGAGGGGTGGAGGTGCCTGAGCTAAGTACTTATCCATGAGATGGATAGAGATCACTAGGGCCTACATATCAGCAAATGTTGGTGGTGGGAACGTGAAAGTGTGTGGAATGGGTTGCTGGTATTCTGTTATCTCTGGTTGGTATTTGTTGGTGCCCTTGAATAGTGAGACAAATATTTCAATGTAAAGGGTGACTATCGCCAAAATATTTACAGCTGGCTCATTCCTGAGTTGTGACTTCTCACCACTACCCCCCCCCCCAGCATTTTAAAAGAACACGAGACAAGAACCAGACATCATGGGAGTAGAAATAGAATCCTACCATCTGCACTTAATCTGACTCTATTCAGGCCTGCCAATAGTGACATCCTTCAAGTGGGGTTATCAATAATTCATTTGAACATACTGTAGTAGCGTAATATCCAAGCAGACACGTGCTGATGTGGAGTGGTCAGTGAGGCAGCAGCGCTCTAGTCTCTTTCTCTCGTTCTCTCTCTCAGCTCAGTTTCCAGCCAAGTTAGTCACAGAATAAGTCATCTGTCATGGTAGAGTGACACTATCTCCTGTTCCCTCCCACTGCGACAAGGACTCAAATGCTCAGCAGTCAGGACAAGGCCTACATTGACAGGACTAATACTGGTGTCCTCTTCTCCTCCAGACCCGCTAAGAGGTCATGGAGGATCATAGTGTTACAGAGAGGGTTGCTCATAAGGGAAGTAGTGTAATGGCATCCACTTACTGTTATTTCCCCTTCTGCCTCTCATGGTCTGACCGGTTCAGGACTTCTGTTCCCTGTGTCTCTCTCTCTAATGTACCAACCTCTTTTGACATGTTTGTCTGTACAGGACCCACATCTCTTGACTGACCACTTCGGGCCATTTCATCAACATGGCAGGAAAGATCTCCAAAGACGAGCTGGAGGAGCTGCGAGAGGCGTTTGGCAAAATTGGTGAGTAGGCAACATCTGTGATTTTACAGTTGATTGATTTGCTACATTAGTACGATCAGTATGGCTTGTTTCATAATACATGTTTGTTACATTACACATACAGTTGAAGTCAAAGTTTACATACACTTAGGTTGGAGTAATTTAAAACTCGTTTTTCAACCACTCCACAAATTTCTTGTTAACAAACTATCGTTTTGGCAAGTCAGTTAGGACATCTACTTTGTGCATGACACAAGTAATTTTTCCAACAATTGTTTACAGACAGATTATTTCACTTATAATTCACTGTATCATAATTCCAGTGGGTCAGAAGTTTACATACACTAAGTTGACTGTGCCTTTAAACAGCTTGGAAAATTCCAGGAAATGATGTCATGGCTTTAGAAGCTTCTGATAGGCTAATTGACATAATTTGAGTCAATTGGAGGTGTACCTGTGGATGTATTTCAAGGCCTACCTTCAAACTCAGTGCCTCTTTGCTTGACATCATGGGAAAATCAAAAGAAATCAGCCAAGACTTCAGAAAAAAAAAAATTGTAGACCTTCACAAGTCTGGTTCATCCTTGGGAGCAATTTCCAAATGCCTGAAGCTACCACGTTCATCTGTACAAACAATAGTGCGCAAGTATAAACACCATGGGACCACGCAGCTGTCATACCGCTCAGGAAGGAGACGCTTTGGTACTTTGGTGCGAAAAGTGCAAATCAATCCCAGAACAACAGCAAAGGACCTTGTGAGGATGCTGAAGGAAACAGGGACAAAAGTATCTATATCCACAGTAAAACAAGTCCTATATCGACATCACCTGAACGGCCGCTCAGCAAGGAAGAAGCCACTGCTCCAAAACCGCCATAAAAAAGCCAGACTACGGTTTGCAACTGCACATGGGGACAAAGATCGTACTTTTTGGAGAAATGTTCTTTGGTCTGATGAAACAAAAATAGAATTGTTTGGCCATAATGACCATCGTTATGTTTGGAGGAAAAAGGCGGTTGCTTGCAAGCCGAAGAACACCGTCCCAACCGTGAAGCACGGGGGTGGCAGCATCATGCTGTGGGGTTGCTTTGCTGCAGGAGGGACTGGTGCACTTCACAATATAGATGGCATCATGAGGAAGGAAAATTAGGTGGATATATTGAAGCAACATTACATTTACATTTTAGTCATTTAGCAGACTCTCTTATCCAGAGCGACTTACAGGAGCAATTAGGGTTAAGTGCCTTGCTTAAGGGCACATCGACAGATTTTTCACCTAGTCGGCTCGGGGATTAGAACCAGCGACCTTTCGGTTACTGGCACAACGCTCTTACCCACAACGCTCTTACCCACTAAGCTACATCTCAAGACATCAGTCACTAAGTTAAAGCTTGGTTGCAAATGGGTCTTCCAAATGGACAATGACCCCAAGCATACTTCCAAAGTTGTGGCAAAATGGCTTAAGGACAACAAAGTCAAGGTATTGGAGTAGCCATCACAAAGCCCTCACCTCAATCCTATAGAAAATGTGTGGGCAGAACTGATAAAGCATGTGAGAGTAAGGAGGCCTACAAACCTGACAGTTACACCAGCTCTGTCAGGAGGAATGGGCCAAAATTCACTCAACTTATTGTAGGAAGCTTGTGGAAGGCTACCCGAAACGTTTGACCCAAGTTAAACAATTTAAAGGCAATGCTACCAAATACTAATTGAGTGTATGTAAACTTCTGACCCACTGGGAATGTGCTGAAATAAATAATTATCTCTACTATTATTCTGACATTTCACATTCTTAAAATAAAGTGGTGAACCTAACTGACCTAAAACAGGGAATTTGTACTAGGATTAAATGTCAGGAATTGTGAAAAACTGAGTTTAAATGTATTCGGCTAAGGTGTATGTAAACTTCCGACTTCAACTGTAGGCTACAAGTCTACAGCTGCTTCATTGTACTGTCCTGACTTTTTAGTTATTGATGTTCACTTCTCGTCCCTTTTTTTTGTATTGTTTGCGAACCAGCCCAGGGATTCTAACAACAAAGTATTGTGTGTTAGCTGAAACTTATTTAGAAAATATGCTCAAACTGCGGTCTGTCTGTGCTTTTGTAGACCTCGATGGTAATGGCTCCATCTGCGACTATGAGCTCCATGAACTGTTCAAGGAGGCCAACCTTCCCCTGCCTGGCTACAAAGTCAGGGAAATCATTCAGAAGCTGGATCGCAACAAGGACAACAAGATCAGCTTTGACGAGTTTCTGTCTGTGAGTAATGTTTGACAGTTGTGTGTTAGTCATCCTAAGGGAGTTGGGTTTCAGCAAGTCAGGTTTGGCCAGTCATCCTCAGGGAGTTGGTGTCAGCAAGTCAGGTTTGGCGAGTTTGGTCCAGTTGGTGAGGGAGTTGTTGTTGGGAGTTCTGCCTATCCCTTACTGACTAAGGGGACCATCTTTTGTCTCCTTTGTGAAATCAAGTTCCCTTTGAAATTTGTATGAACTAGCTCTTTAACATGTCAATTGGGTGTCCACTAAAGCGTGCACACACACACAGGAATGAGGAAATGAGGTCAGATGGTGGTGTGAGTTCCCGTATTTCGTTTCACCCATGATGAGAGAACAGTCATTTATTGGCCTGTGCTAGTCTCCATTTAGAGTAATGATTTGACCACTGGCATCCCAAAAGAAAAAAAATCATTAGTAATCTCTATTTTAGGCAATTTCTCATAGCTCACTGATGAGAGGGAACTTTTTTTTAGGGGGGGGGGGGGGTGCATTTTTACATCAGCCTTTTTTGTATGGGATAGCTGCAGTTATGTTTTTTTGTATGTGTCAGAAAGAGCGGGGGTTGTGCCATTATTTTTACAGTTGCTATAATTGATTACATAATATTTTTTTACTGGAAAAAGTCCATGTCTCTGTTTTCATTTAAAATATGGTGGGTACAGTATGTTGAGATCAAGATAATAGTAAACCATATCCATTCATCGAAGGCAAATGAAATCACAACAGACAAAGGCATTATTTATAAAGGTAAATGCATACTATTGTGTTTTCCATGGACCTCTATCTACAGTGCATGAGAAGTGTAGGCTAACACCACTTGATTCTATGTTTGTTTGTGGTGGTCAGGTCTGTGGTGTACACTTCTAACATGTCACTCAATCACAGGCTGAGATGTTGGTGATGACCACATAAACAATACTTAGGTCAGCAGGTGCAGGGCTCTATGCTGACCTTTTTTATAAGGAGCAGGTGTGCTCCTAAGTTGAAAAATGTAGGAGCACACATAGACATTTAGGAGCACAATGAAAAATATTTGCGTTAATTAAGCTAGAATCTTAAATTTTTCTAGGCGCACTGGTGCTCATAAATAAAAAATTCCAGGTCGCACAGCAAAATGCAGTGTAGAGCCCTGAGGTGTCCGGTCAGAGATAATACTGAGACAATGTTAGGGCCTGTGAATAAATACAAATACCTACTTGACTAAAGTCTTTGGCTCCTGTATTGATTTTAGGCCATTGACAAATGTCTTCCTAACCCAACCTATATCCTCTCATATCCTTATTGCACAAAACATTTCCCCTGGCCATTCAGCATACAGTATCCTGTAACATGTTGTTGAATTCGACAGGAGGATAAAAACGTTTGGTTCACAGCGAGGCGCTTGGCTTCCTGGTAAACACTGGTGTTTTTGTTGCTTTACTGCCCCTCCCCAGTAAGAACCTTAATGAATTACCATAGCAGGCTTACACTGATTTCTCTTGTAATAATGTGCTTATTATAATAACTGAGCATAATGTAAGCAGAAATGTATTAGGATCTTGAAGAGGTCTGCCGTTGGAGCTAAAATGCAGTTTGCCCTCTCTACTGCAGATCTTCCAGGAGTTGAAGAGCAGTGACATTGCCAAAAGCTTCCGGAAGGCCATTAACAGGAAGGAGGGGATCCTGGCCATTGGGGGAACATCTACGCAGTCCAGCGAGGGCACGCAACACTCCTTTTCTGGTGAGCTGCTCACATTCTCCTTCCACTTCTACTAATATTGGTGGGATTGCATTACAGTATGTTGTACTGTGTATATACACTGAGTGTACAAAACATTAAGAACATGTTTCCATGACATAGACTGACCAGGTGAAAGCTATGATCCCTTATTGATGTCACTTGTTAAATCCACTTCAATCAGTGTAGATGAAGGGGAGGAGACAGATTAAATAATGATTTTTAAGCCTTGAGACAACTGAGACATGGATTGTGTATGTGTGCCATTCAGAGGGTGAATGGCCAAGACAAAAGATTTTGAACGGGGTGTGGTAGTAGGTGCCAGGCACACCGGTTTGTGTCAAGAACTGGAACACTGCTGGGTTTTTCACGCTCAACAGTTTCCCGTGTATATAAAGAATGGTCCACCACCCAAAGGAAATCCAGCTGACTTGACACAACTGTGGGAAGTATTGGAGTCAACATGGGCCAGCATCCCTGTGGAACGCTTTCAACACCTTGTAGAGTCCATGCCCTGACGAATTGAGGCTGTTCTGAGGGCAAAAGGGGGGGGGGTGCAACTCAGTATTAGGAAGGTGTTCTTAATGTTTTGTACACTCAGTGTATAGCCCTTTGATTTAATCTAAGGGAACCTTTCTCATGAATTTTGGTAGATGCTCCATCTGTCTCTCCAATCTCATAGTGGATTGATTACCTAGGGGCCCTAGTCAATCGAAACCAATAACTGGGTTTCCGGATGTTATACATAACATTATTCCTGTGTAGTGAGAGAACGTGTATAAAGTTGTGTTGGCTGAGGGTTTCCTTGTGCTGCCCTTTGCAGAGGAGGAGCGGTACGCGTTTGTCAACTGGATCAACACAGCACTGGAGAATGACCCTGACTGCAAGCACGCCCTGCCAATGGACCCCAACTCAGACTCCCTCTTCAAGGCCATGGGAGATGGCATCGTTCTCTGGTGAGACATAGAGATTTATATAATTATGTTCTGTATAATTCTGCCCTTACAGACCCTAACACAGCTAATTTTCCTTACACGTGGTTGGTTGAAATGGGGCATATCTGCGTCTCCCAACATTAGGACCCCTCATAAACGAGCTGTGCTTGTTTTTATGTGCTCCTGTAGTAAAATGATCAACCTGTCGGTGCCAGACACGATTGACGAGAGGACCATAAACAAGAAGAAGCTGACACCGTTCACAATACAGGTCCGTACAAACTCAACCAAACTGGTCATACACTGTAGTTAACTGAGTGGTGATTCTTAGGCTGCGTTTAAACATACAGCCCAATTCTGATATTTCTTTCACTAATTGGACTTTTGACCAATCAGATCAGCTCTGAAAAAGATCCTATGTGATGGTCAAAATAACAATTTGTGGAAAAAATGAGAATTGGCCTGCCTGTGTAAACGCAGCCTTAGAGATGTAATGATTGTTAGCGATTTAGCCAATCCACCCCATGCTGTTCTGAGTAAGGAAAGCTATTGTATAGATATAATTTCTGTCATCTCTATTTATGTTTCATGTACATATGTGGGTGGACCTGTTTGTTTCTCTCTTTCCTGTAAGGGACTTCAAAGCTGTTTTGTTTCTGCGTCCTGCAGGAAAATCTGAACCTGGCTCTGAACTCGGCCTCTGCCATTGGCTGCCACGTGGTGAACATCGGGGCTCTGGACCTGAGGGAGGGGAAGCCCCACCTGGTGCTGGGCCTGCTGTGGCAGATCATCAAGATCGGCCTTTTTGCTGACATCGAGCTCAGCAGAAATGAAGGTGAGGGACTTTCACAGCGCAATCACAGTCTTGGTGACTCATGAACCTGTATCGAACCGTCGTGTTATTCCTCATCACAGTACATTTACTCATATATCACAACATTATGACGTCGAGCTAGTTTGTCCTCAGTGTTCGAGTGGCTTTTCCTGGTTAAAGACCTCTCTGGTCAGTGAGTGCTGAGGTGCTGTAGCTGACCGAATGTCCTGTGACCTCCTCCAGCCCTGGCTGCTCTGCTGAGAGATGGAGAGACCCTGGAGGACTTGATGAAGCTGTCTCCAGAGGAGCTGCTGTTGCGCTGGGCTAACTTTCACCTGGAGAGCGCTGGCTGGCAGAAGATCAATAACTTCAGCTCCGACATCAAGGTATGGCTGTACGGTCCATGTATGTTTGGTTCGTGTTCACTCTATCTGTATGGTTAATGAAGTTGAACAGTGTAATAGTATTCTGTTGTCCTCACAAAGAAGTGGTGGAACTATAGCTAAATAAAAGGATGATTAATAAGACAAGGCTTCAACCAAATCTGGACTCTGGATTCTATTCTTTCAAAGCGAACAATTCTTTGCTCTGATGATATCTGGTTTTTATGCCTGTGCTTTATGATATTTCTGACTGACTGTATCTTTTCTTTAGCTGACAGACCTTTCAACCTGTAAAGGTACTTCATAGATCAACTTCCTTAGTGTATAGGAATTGACAATAGCTTCATACATGTGTCATCAAGATCATTGTACAGTATTAATATTTTCATTTTTCGTCATTGCATACCTGTCCGTTGTGTCCTGTGTCGTCTTGTGTTCCCATGTGGCCTGCACAACTTTGTATCCCAGTGTTGTTGTGTATCTTTCCAATGCTGAGGTTCAAACGAGATGTCTGTCTCTATGTTTCAGGACTCCAGAGCCTATTTCCACCTCCTCAACCAAATCTCACCCAAAGGCACCGAGGAAGACCAGCCACACATAGACATCAGCATGGCAGGCTTCGGTGTAAGCACCTTCACAGAGAATATACAAATGCCATATACAGAGAATCAATTGTGTTCGGTTAATATACGTACATTCAGAAGGGATAAATAAAATATGTCCCTGGCATGAAACTGTGGCGTGTCTATGACCTGTAGGAGAAGGATGACCTGAAAAGGGCAGAGAACATGCTTCAGCAGGCTGACAGGCTGGGCTGTCGACAGTTTGTCACCCCAGCCGACGTCGTCTCCGGCAACCCCAAACTCAACCTGGCCTTTGTGGCCAATCTCTTCAACAAGTACCCGTCTCTCACCAAGCCTGAGGGAGAGGACATCGACTGGGGGCTGCTAGAAGGTGAGTGCTGAGCTAGAAGTCTGTTGGTTATGATTGCTGGGTGGATTCTGGCCAGTGTACATTGTATTTCCTGAGACCATAAAATCACCCAACATCTTTTCTGTTTAGGTGAGACACGAGAAGAAAGAACATTCCGGAACTGGATGAATTCCCTGGGTGTGAACCCACATGTCAATCATCTGTATGGGTATGTACCAAATGCAGCTAATTATTTACATTGAAAATTAACATGCCAATACCTTACTGCTCCCTACCAGTGGTATTCATACACAGGGTCAGGTTTGTTTAGATTTGTTATCAATGAGTAACCTATATAACCATTATCTTTCCTCTATAGAGACCTAGCGGACGCCTTGGTCATCCTCCAACTTTATGAAAAGATAAAAGTGCCCGTCGACTGGACCAACAAAGTCAACAAACCACCATATCCCAAGATTGGGACAAACATGAAAAAGGTTAACTATATTCTCAAATAAAATATATGTTCCTCCTATAATTTTTACTTTGAAAAAAGGCAGAATTGACTGTTTCTGTCTTTAACTATTCAGAAGCACATAGATCAAAATAATACAGTTCCTGTTCTGGAGAGAGACTAAAGACATGTTTCTCTTGACTCCTACTGTGTTTTGTCTGCTCAGTTGGAGAACTGCAACTATGCGGTGGAGCTGGGGAAGACGACGGCGAAGTTCTCTCTGGTTGGCATCGGTGGGCAGGACCTGAACGATGGCAACGCCACCCTGACGCTGGCCCTGGTGTGGCAGCTGATGAGGAGGTGAGTCCTGGCACATGCTTAGATCAATATGTAACATACATACAGTGGGGATGTTGGGGGGGAGGGGGGGGGTATGGGATGGACCACGGGAATTATTTGCTAGGATAATAATTGCTTGTCAATGAATTTTAATGTAATACAATGGCAATCCGGTTATATGTTAAAATCCTACGTGTGAACTGCCGACATTATTACGCATATTAATTGATATTGATGTAAAATAGGATATGCATAATTTAAAAAAAATAGTTATATAGATATATATATATATATATATAAAGGTGAAAGCAATGGAAATGCTTTTGGCGGTTAATCTGCTTCTGTTTTGTGGGTGGCACTGTGTGCTGTTTTCGATGGATGGGTCCTGGCCTCTCGGGGCCTTAGGGATCCGGAGGGACGTGGGTGGGATGCTGATCACTGGGATGACGGCTCAACTTGGGATGGGGAGGGGCTTTAGCGGGGGAATTAGTGGAGAACAATTGAAGGGTTACTCCGTAGCATACCAGTCGAGGTATACCAAACCTTTTTTGGTATACTAAGAGGACCGTTATTAGCATGTTTTAACCACTCCTATGTAAATGGTAGATTATCTGACACTCAAGAAGAAGGTCTGATCTCATTATTACTGAAACAGGATACAAGTGGAAAATCTAAAGATCCAGTCCATTTACAAAATTGGAGGCCCCTTACGCAAAAATTCTAGCAAAATGTATAGCGCATAGAATTAAAAAGGTATTGTCGGATATTATTCATTCTAATCAGACAGGTTTTTGCTTATGGTCTTGCCTACGCCTAGCGAACAGTTTTTTTTAAATTATATGAGAAAAATATTCAATTTTATTTGGAACGGCAAGCCAGACAAAATTAAAAGGGCATATTTATATAATGAATATGAATTCGGAGTACAGAAATTATTAAATATTAAAGCATTAGACCTATAACTAAAAGCTTCAGTCATACAAAAGTTATACTTAAATCCGAACTGGTTCTCAAGCAAATTAGTAAGATTGTCTCACCCAATGTTCAAGAAAGGCCTTTTTCCCTTTATTCAGATTACAACAACTCATTTGCAGTTATTTGAAAAGGAAATCATCTCCCAAATATCACTATTTCTAAAACAAGCCATAGAAAGTTGGTTGCAATTTCAATTTAATCCTCCAGAAACGACAGAACAAATAATGCAACAAATATTGTGGTTAAATTCAAATATACTAATTGACCAAAAAACTGTATTTTTTGACAGAATGTTTAAAAAAGGTATAATCTTCGTAAATAATATCATCGGTAGGACTGGTGGAGTTATGTCGCACATGCAGCTAACAAAAACATGGAAATGTCTGCTCTACCCAAAATTACAACCAAATAATTGCAGCCTTACCGCAAAAGTGGAAGAGGAAAGTGGAAGGGGGAGAAAGTAAGGAACTTGTCTGTCGGCCTTGCATTAAAGAACATAATTGGTTAAGGAAAACAGTGATAAATAAAGTATATCAGTTTCACTTAAGGACCAAAGGATTGACAGCCGTCCCATATAGATTGCAAAATAGTTAGGAAGAGATTTTTGACGTACCGATCCCATGGCATAGTGTTTATGAACTGACACGCAAAACGACACCGGATTCAAAAATTTGAATCTTTCAATTTAAATTATTATATAAAATTCTTGCTACCAATATAATATTATTTATATGGGGGATACAATCTTCCCAGCTCTGCAGATTTTGCTGTGAAGAGACAGAATCATTAGATCATTTGTTTTGGTTCATTTGTAGCTTGTTTTTAGACACAGGTCCAGGAATGGCTAAAGGATTGCAATATTTACCTGGAGCTAACCTTGCAGATAGCATTACTGGGTGATCTGAAAAGTCATAGTCAATCGATCAATAATATGATAATACTTTTAGCAAAAATGTTTATTTTTAATTCACAATCTGTAGAAGCAATGAGAATAGAAAGGTTCAGAACTTTTGTAAAACATCACAGTACGGTTGAAATATATATGGCAAATAGAAATCCTATATGGATGGTGTTAAGAGATACAGTGAGGGGTAAAAAGTATTTGATCCCCTGCTGATTTTGTACGTTTGCCCACTGACAAAGAAATGATCAGTCTATAATTTTAATGGTAGGTTTATCTGAACAGTGAGAGACAGAATAACAACAAAAAAATCCAAAAAAATGCATGTCAAAAATGTTATAAATTGATTTGCATTTTAATGAGGGAAATAAGTATTTGACCTCTCTGCAAAACATGACTTAGTACTTGGTGGCAAAACCCTTGTTGGCAATCACAGAGGTCAGACGTTTCTTGTAGTTGGCCACCAGGTTTGCACACATCTCAGGAGGGATTTTGTCCCACTCCTCTTTGCAGATCTTCTCCAAGTCATTAAGGTTTCGAGCCTAACGTTTGGCAACTCGAACATTCAGCTCCCTCCACAGATTTTCTATGGGATTAAGGTCTGGAGACTGGCTAGGCCACTCCAGGACCTTAATGTGCTTCTTCTTGAGCCACTCCTTTGTTGCCTTGGCCGTGTGTTTTGGGTCATTGTCATGCTGGAATACCCATCCACGACCCATTTTCAATGCCCTGGCTGAGGGAAGGAGGTTCTCACCCAAGATTTGACAGTACATGGCCCCGTCCATCGTCCCTTTGATGCGGTGAAGTTGTCCTGTCCCCTTAGCAGAAAAACATCCGCAAAGCATAATGTTTCCACCTCCATGTTTGACGGTGGGGATGGTGTTCTTGGGGTCATAGGCAGCATTCCTCCTCCTCCAAACACGGCGAGTTGAGTTGATGCCAAAGAGCTCGATTTTGGTCTCATCTGACCACAACACTTTCACCCAGTTCTCCTCTGAATCATTCAGATGTTCATTGGCAAACTTCAGACGGGCCTGTATATGTGCTTTCTTGAGCAGGGGGACCTTGCGGGCGCTGCAGGATTTCAGTCCTTCACAGCGTAGTGTGTTACCAATTGTTTTCTTGGTGACTATGGTCCCAGCTGCCTTGAGATCATTGACAAGATCCTCCCATGTAGTTCTGGGCTGATTCCTCACCGTTCTCATGATCATTGCAACTCCACGAGGTGAGATCTTGCATGGAGCCCCAGGCCGAGGGAGATTGAAAGTTATTTTGTGTTTCTTCCATTTGCGAATAATCGCACCAACTGTTGTCACCTTCTCACCAAGCTGCTTGGCGATGGTCTTGTAGCCATTCCAGCCTTGTGTAGGTCTACAATCTTGTCCCTGACATCCTTGGAGAGCTCTTTGGTCTTGGCCATGGTGGAGAGTTTGGAATCTGATTGATTGATTGCTTCTGTGGACAGGTGTCTTTTATACAGGTAACAAGCTGAGATTAGGAGCACTCCCTTTAAGAGTGTGCTTCTAATCTCAGCTCGTTACCTGTATAAAAGACACCTGGGAGCCAGAAATCTTTCTGATTGAGAGGGGGTCAAATACTTATTTCCCTCATTAAAATGCAAATCAATTTATAACATTTTTGACATGCATTTTTTTGGATTTTTTTGTTGTTATTCTGTCTCTCACTGTTCAGATAAACCTACCATTAAAATTATAGACTGATCATTTCTTTGTCAGTGGGCAAACGTACAAAATCAGCAGGGGATCAAATACTTTTTTCCCTCACTGTAGATGGGAGGTATTGAATAGAGTTGAAGGATGGGACTAATAACAAATAACAACAAATAATAACAAAGATAGCTAATAATGTAAGCATACTGTGTCCATAGTTAGTATATAGGTTGAATGTTGGGAGCTTTTGGGAAAGAGCACAGTTAGAAAGATATGGCATATAGAAGCAAACCGGATGGACATCATGAAAATGATCGGAGAGGTTGAGAGTAGAAGTAGTTCAGGAGCAAAAATAAATAAATATATATATAATAGAATTATTGTAAAATTAACTGTGTCCATAAGGTGTAGATAGTAAGTATAGACCGGAAGTAGAGGCCTGGGCATTGTTGTTCACTAATTTCCTCCAAGTAGGGAAAGGATGGCGGGGTTGAAAAGTAATAAAGGGGAGTATATATATAAAAAACATGGGGGATTGGAAGTGATGCAGACAATTACATTGATAGAAGATACAATCTATCTGCAATATTAAGCTGATCCATCCATCCCCCCCCCAAAAAATAAAATAAAAAATAATAATAATAATATGTAACATACCTTTTAGAACCAGGGAAAACATTTCTGTTTTCACATTGTGTTTTCACAACTGCAAAATATGTAGCTGTTACTTTCAAGATGTTTATGGAAAAACATAAGAGCGCACAGGTAAATAAAGAGTAAGGGTAAGCGCTGAAAGGAAATGTTACTCTAATTTACCCTTCGCTAACCCCCACCCCCCTTGGTTACTGTTGCAACCTCGGACAACATTTTCCCAGGAAGCTCCATTTCCCATTCAAACTACTGGAGAAAACCCCTCACAACAATTTCAAACTGTTTTTAATACACAATAAAATTAAACCCAGACTATCCCTTGCTAATTAGGAGACTATTGAGTATGTTGTGGTGGACTGTCATTACAATTGCTTCACGGTAACCTGTTACAATGAAGTTTGTAGTGTGGCTAGCCACTGGATGGCTCTGAATGCACTGTCACGCAGTCAAAGTTACTAATAATCACTTAGAGCTAATTAATACACTCAAGTCGTATCCTGATGTCGACAGCAGATTATAGTTGTGTTCATAATATAGCTAACTTAGCTAACATGCATTTTGAGAAGTTGAATTAACTGGTTAGCTAGCTTTAGCAAGGTTTGGTGGTCAATGAGACTGAGAGCTAGCTAACCAGCTGAGCTAGAAAACAATGTAACAAAAGTGTAATTTCGGATTCGTAAAATACTTCAACAGGCTCTTCATTTCAGAAATCACAGTAGCAAGTTTATTTATTTTTATTTATTTAACCTTTATTTAACCAGGTAAGCCAGTTGAGAACAAGTTCTAATTTACAACTGCGACCTGGCCAAGATAAAGCAAAGCAGTGCGATAAAAAACAACAACACAGTTACATATGGGGTAAACAAAACATAAAGTACCCCTCGTGCACTGTTATTTAGCCATTTTAAACAATTCAGCTACTTTTTGGAAAGCTCTCATTGGCTTTCGTTTGAAACGTGAGCTTAACCGAGGTGTCGGTCTCAACAACAGTTGCTATCCATTGGTGCGATTGGTTGACCAAAATTCTGGGGCAGGGCTTAGCGAAGGGTCAATTGTCTTGTATTCATCAGTCATATTCGGACAAAATATTTGGACAATCTTTGTTTCCTGAAACCCAAAATATGCAGCTCCAATGTAGCTTTGCATTGTTACTTCAATACCCACAAGTCGTTGTTTTCTCAATTGTTCTGCTAGGCGTGGTCATAGGTTGAAGTGGGTGGCGCATGTGGACCAACTAGAATTCCCAGTTTGTCCTGGTACAGTGCTAGTATCTGTGGCGTCACTGTTGTCAACAATATTTATGACATGCTCTCACTCGATTGCTTCTCAGTAAATCAGGGTCGTAAAAGAAGAGGTGAGGCAGCATAGGAGCAAATGTTTTGTAAACCTGGCCCTCAGGCAACTGCACTGGAATATTAAATTGTTGATGTTAATTCTTAAGCAGATCTTGATGAATAAGTGGATTGTTTTTGGTTTACTCTTGACTGGCCATCAGTGATTCCATGCTGACCATTGCAGACTGCCGAGTGCCCCAGAAACTGATCAATATGCGAGCTAACTCTTGACATCTCTCCTAGATATACGCTGAATGTACTGGAGGACTTGGGAGATGGACAAAAAGCAAATGATGACATCATTGTTAAATGGGTCAATACAACCTTGTCAGAGGCAGGGAAAACAACCAAGATCTCAAGCTTCAAGGTTTGTCAAGCTTTGACATATTTAGGTTGTTTTGTATTTTTGTTAGTTATATGACATAGAAAATGTTGTTTCCATCTATGTTCTGTAGTGATAATGCAGTCACTACATCGAATCCTCCAATCAGCAGACCTAATCTGTGGCATGCCACAAATTCTGACACTGTACTTTAGCTGATTTGTGAAGCAGGTATTTGACACTGTCCTCTGACCTTGATTGTCAGGACAAGGAGATCAGCACCAGTTTACCAGTGGTGGACCTGATTGATGCCATCCAACCTGGCAGCATCAGCTACGACCTGGTCAAGACTGGCAGCCTCTCAGCCGAGGACAAGCTGGAGAACGCCAAGTAAGACTTCCACTGATATACCTGTCCTGACGATCATTGATATGGGATAGTGACCTGTAAAAAGAACTCAAGCTTCAATTACTTCCAGTTTTTTTGCTATACTTCCTGTTAAAAACATAAAATATGGAGGGGTTGTGAAGTATATATTCAGAAGTCATACGTACAAATATTAAAAAAAAATAGGAATGTGTCCGAGATGTCTTGTTATAGAAGAAAGTGCTGATCAATATTAAATGAAACAACCTATTTCCCCTATTAGATATGCCGTGTCCATGGCGAGGAAGATCGGCGCACGTGTCTACGCTCTCCCAGATGACCTGGTGGAGGTCAAGCCCAAGATGGTGATGACCGTGTTCGCCTGCTTGATGGGCCGGGGGATGAAGAGGGCTTAATGGGCTGTGCCACTTTGGCATTGCCACACAACTACCCACAAGCCTTTTGCTTGATGAAGGGCCACCCGAGAATGAAGAAAGACCTGTGGAAGAAAATTGTTACAGACGTTTACAGTTTTGTTTTTTTCCCAATCGATTTGGTACTATTTTCACAAGTATGTGGTAAACTTTCAAAACTCTTTGTACAAAACTCCAAAACACAGCGTAATAATATCTTCTGAATTTAGTTATTTTAACAACCAGTTAATCCAATAGCAAAACATGCATGATACATGTTTCAAAATTGCCATTTGAATGTAATATGCTACAGTACATTACAATGTTTTCACATTAGGGAATACACTTCTACTACCCATCAAAATTTACTGAAAATCTAATTTCCATCATTTCTATCCCATGTGTGATCAAAGGTGTATTCATTCTTTCACAATCATTGATGCAAAATATAAATGTATTGTTCAAATATAATTACGCTATTGGTGTACTGCAATCAAATGAAACAAATTAAATGAATGAAACATAACGTTTAGCAGTCACTAGTTTGCATCAAGCCTGTCTTGGGCATTTGACCATAGGTTCTCATCAATATAGTAAATGTCCTCATTGTTGATGCACCTGGGGAAAAACCTTTTGACATGGCGAATCCAAGCCTGACATACATTACCAGTCAAAAGTTTGGACACCTACTCATTCCAGGGTTTTTCTTTATTTTTACTATTTTCTACATTGTAGAATAATAGTGAAGACATCAAAACTATGAAATAACACATATGGGGTCATGTAGTAACCAAAAAAGTGTTTAACAAATCAACATATATTTTATATTTGAGATTCTTCAAAGTATCCACCCTTTGCCTTGATGGCGGCTTTGCACACTCTTGGCATTCTCTCAACCAACTTCATGAGGTAGTCACCTGGAATGCATTTCAATTAACAGGTGTGCCTTGTTAAGTTCATTTGAAATTTTTACTGGTACAGTAGGTCTGAATTGATGTCATTTCATGCCTCATCCGTAGCCTGAAGGAGGGTGGCACACTCATGGGGATGGCAACCAAACCGTTGGATTGGCCCTGTGTTGCTCAGTTAGTAAGAGCATGGCTCTAACAACACCAGAGTTTTGGGTTCAATTCCTACTGGGGTCACATATGAAAATCTGACTCACTGTTGCCACTTTGGATAAAAGCGTCTGCTACTTAAATGGCATATATTAAAGTACTATATTGACCAATGCAATTATAGTAAAGCGGTGTGACCCCCCCCCCCCCCATCAAAAAGAGCCCTGCAATTTTGGATACATGTGGGAAGTTATATGGACCTTTTTAAGTTTTCAAATAACTGCCCTTTTTTCTGGCCGGCAAATAGCTTTCGACAAACATCTGTCCGAAAAAATCTGTGCGGCCCTCTGCTGAATTTAAATCCCAATGTGTCTCTCAAGCCAAAATTATTTAGGGGATTCAATTGTTACAAACAGTACATCTCTGTTCTTGTCATTATCAGAATTTTTTCTAAACTTTATGTTAAGTAAAATCATAATAGTCACAATCATAGTACATTACACTATATATCACACTTTATATGTTTATACTTTACAAACATACATTGTCGTTATGTAGTTCTCAATCTGTAGTAGACAAACCAGTTTAAAAATTATAGGTTTACCAAATGGTTAAGTGGTTATCAATTTAGAGCAATCGGATTAAGTAATAGTAAAATGTATTTTAACAAATGAGAAGACAATCATATCAAAAGTAATGTGAGCATTGCATTGTGAAAACCAATTACTTTATTTGAACGTATTACAATGTGAAACGTATTTATTTCTAGATGCAACACTGATTTAAGTTTAATGAAAAGGTGACTGATTTTGTGTGTTGTACTTAGTCAATTAAATATGTGCGTAGTTTTTGAAACAACTGCCTTTTTGATAATCTGAGTTTTGTATTAAGCGTGAAAATGTATCACATACTTGTGAAAATTGCACCAAAGCGATAGAAAAAAAACTAAGACTCTTTGCTATCAGAACCTAAAATGTCAACCTCGTTTTGACAACGGAGGTATGTATACTACAAAATATTGTGCAGTCTTATGAGGTAAGCCCATAATTTAAAGTTACTGAAGAACACTATGCCTCATGTTACAGAGGACAACTTGCTATGTTACTTTTCAATATGCAACACTATCTCAATTCATGTTTCAGAATGCTGTATGGTATAAGTATGTATGTATGTATTTTCCAGTTAACAGGTTGTGTTTCTGAGTATTTCTACTCTGGTTGATTGATGTTACACCTATATCCTTGATCTGTACACTATAATACATATTCATATCATCCCTTACAAAGTGGATAACAATATTTAACTTGGACAAACTGAAATGGTGGCGGTTTAGGTGTTGCACCTGAACTTTCCCCTCACCCTTACTGAAATGCATGCATATCTTAATAGCTAGTCTTGTCAACAGCTGCATATCTCTACAGAAGCCATAAGGTCAAACCTTAGTAATGACCAAGCCTGAAGGGTATTCTCTATTCCTGTATTTGCATTATTTGTTTATTTCTTGGGATTATGGTAGCTAGCTAGTAAGCTGAGAGCAGCTGGGTGTCTGTCTGGCTTTTTTGTATTGGACTATAGGTATGCTTTAAAGGTATCTGTCTTATTACTCTGGAAGAAACCAAAGGAGCTCACTTGACAGTGCAGTTTCCCTGGTTGTGCAGTGTCTTTTAATGCCAACTTCGGTTGCACATTAAGGTTTCCTCTTATTGTTTTCTTTTGTATTCAACATTACCAAAAAATATAGCCTAAACTATTTCTGCGTTCCAGATAGCTTCATTATATTCCATAGTTACCATACCATTGCATTTTGGTCTCATGTGTACATGTTTACTCTGAAGTGCTTTATACAAATAATAAATAAGAAAATGAACAATGCGTAAATCTGCTTGTTATTTATACCTAGGCCTACATAGAAAATACATTGTGGAACCTTATCTCAGCCGTGGTCATATAGTATTTTCTGTCCTTTGGCAAGCAGACAACAAAACGTTTGCATAGTGATTGGTGGTTGTGTTTCCCTGTCTTCATTGTGTGCTGTGGGAGGTCTGATGGGACGTATGCTCTGTGGACTGTTTCTGCCTGCAGGTTAATCTCTACAGTCTGTGGAGGGAACAGGTAATGCGGTCGCACTGCCCTAGGCTTTACACTACAGTGCAGTTCACCTATTTACCCAAATGCATTGTTTATTTTCTCCAGAAACCTGCATGCTCTACTTGATTGCATTCACAACCGTTTCAATCCATAAAGTAACAGTAGGCTGCTGTACTTAAGTGCAACTCTGTCAACTGTGGTACCTAATGCCACTAACTCCTGTGTTAGTTGGGTGGATGTATTCTCTGTCCATATAGAGGTGCTTTCGTTTTGGTGGATTAGTGATTAAACCGTGGGGAACCCAGATAGCTGATCGTTGGATGTTGTTCACTGGTCTGAATCCTGAACAGATGCTGAGACTGCTCTAAACCACAAGCCCCCTCAGGCTTTCTAAGCACTCTGTCTCATACTGTTTACTAAGTGGAGACTGTCTGCCACAGTCTGTCAAATAGCTCTGTGAGGGAGAAAGACAAGATGAGGGGATGGCAGACCGCTTTGGCTCTCATGGGCTTCATTATCTGGATTTACAGGCACTGAATGCTGCATTGGGGAGTGTCTCTACTTTGTCTCTATGTTTGTGTTCATTAGTGACTGAATTAACGGGACAGAAGCGAACCAGAATCAATTCTCTACACTGGGGATGGAGTGTCTGTCACCCGCTTGAGGTGACTTGCTGATCGGACTTTACTCTCTTGGTGCTTGTTCTTCTCATGATGACAGAGAGGCTAAGCACTCCTTTTTACCCCTGAAAGCTCTCCAAGTCCCCGCCCTCTTTCTCTTTTTCTCTCCTCCCCTCCTCTTTCCCTCTACCCATCCTGCTCTGCCTACAGTCAGTCTATTGGAAGTCCTGTTGACTTCGACATGTTGACAAGCAGTGCCTATGCTTTCCACAAGTGAAGAAAGGAGGAGACCCCAGAGGAAGAAAGAGGAACCCCTCCAGAAACCTGACAATTAGAGGACGTGACATGTTGACGAAGCAAGGAAGAGGTATGAAAGGTATTGGCTTGGCGCTCCAGCAGTAATGCATGCTCCTGCAGTTCCATCTTCTCCGCAATGGGTACAATAGCTGTAAAGGAGCTCTGGCTGTCTTTGAAATGGCCATAAGGATTTTACTGGAGTAACTGGAGGCAAGCAGGATATAGAAACAAGCTGGTGAGTGACCACCTACCTGAAAACCTTTATCTTTTAGCGAAACAGCATTGTACTATGTGTTTCTACTATGTGTTTATCGCATTCATTGTCATTTTGTTCTTATGTGGCACTTTCCCATTGCCATTGGAAATGACATATAGCCAACAGACACTTGTTGCCTGCATTTATCACTATGTTACTGTAGCAACTTAGTCATGAGACACATGATACACTGGGCATATAGACAGTCACTACCTTCGCTGCCTCAAGTGATGAAACGCACCTGTTGTCAGCTATGATGTGGAGAGCTTGGTCCTGTGGGAGCAGTTAGATTGGCTCACTGAGCAGAACACTGTGCCTCGGGCTGACTGTTTACCCATCAATTAGTAAAACATTGGTAACAGTCGTCTAAACACCACCATCATTTGTCTGCCTCAACTTCCATGAGCCAGTCATGGCCCTAACACCACCCTTCTCAATATTTTCAGTGCTTCCACGTGTCGGAATGTAATGACAATTTAGTGGTAGGTCAGTGGCGTAGCGCAGTTTCGCTGGGCCCCCGTAAGGTCTGAGCAAAGGCCAGAGAGAACAATGTGCAGTTGTATAGCTAATCTCATGCTAATTTACACATTTTGCCATGAGGCTGAGAGAAAATGTTGCTGTTTTAGAGCTCAGGGATTCTTGAAAGATGGGACAATCTCACTTTTAAAAATATATATTAACAAAAAGTGAAATATATATGTTGATAGACCAAAGTATCAGCTATCACAGCATGTAAAGGAACAACCTATTAATTTTATTTTCTTCATAAAATGCTCACTAACTGGATTTATGTCAACTCCGTCAGACACCATAAAAGGCATTTCGTTTTTAGAATTATTTTCCAAAAGGTGTTTAAAGGCCTTGATTGTTTAATTCTAACATTATATTATTCAAATATGTAATACAAAACTCCAAACTGACAAAGTGAAAACAGGTTTTTAGACATTTTTGCACATTTCAAAAAATAAAAAAACAGAAATACCTATTCAGACCCTTTGCTATGAGACTCGAAATATAGCTCAGGTCCATCCTGTTTCCATTGATCATCCTTGAGATGTTTATACAACTTGATTGGAGTCCACCAGTGGTAAATTCAGTTGATTGGACATGATTTGGAA